TGGGCGTGTCGTAAACGTAATAATACCAAAACAAACACCAAATTATTGTCACAGTGCCTGTGTACATTTGTGGGAAAGAAGGGGAGGGGGGGGGGGAGTGAAAAAATTACTCTACTTTCTAGTGTAGGTATGGCTTAAAGGCTTACAAACGACATGTCGTCATTATCATCGTCATCATTACAACCATGCATCATATGTTTTTTTTTTTTCTATGTTTGTTTATTCGACAGATCAACATCATGGCACACGGATGTAACCCATAATTACTCTGTTCTACTTGTAACTTAAGCCTGAGCCTGAGACTCTCGGCGCAGTGCACGAACTCCGTTGTACCGGCGAAGGATCCTGAAATACTTTAGGTAGATTTGTAACTCCACATTTTTGCCCGAGTAGCGCCTTTAGGCTACTCTTTTTTTCGATTTCCAACTGCCATGAGATTTTTTTCACGTGGGCTGTAATATACACAGGCGTCTGATTTTACTACCCAGACAGGCGAAAATACTAGAAGTCCACGAGAAACAATTCCAGTCTTCACTTGAACTTGAACCCGGGACTTCCAGCATGGGACGTGGACATCATACCTCGAGACCATTCAGCCTCACCACCTCTTCCCCCATATGCGTCATATAGGGATGACAGTCTATTCCCTAATTCCATAATCTCCCCCCCCCCCCTTTTTCCGCCTCCTTCCGTTTATCTCCCATCATGAATAGACCCTAACTTCAGTCTTTTTGCTTGCTACTGCATGCAACTCATTCTATGACTTCTACCTCTCCTTAATTTCACTCTCTTTTTATTCGCTGTTGCATTTATTCCTTTCACCACGCAGATTCCAGTGCCAATGCATTCTAGGTATAATATTCTCGAACTGTTTCTCAACTAGTTTCCTGTGCAACACCATTTCCTCACCACTTGATTCGCTGAAAGGTGTTTAGTTCCCTCCCAAGGCACCATATTGTATCATACCATTCAGCTCTCTTTATACTGCACCAGCATCACTTAATGAATGTTTGTAACCAGCACCTTCAGCATCATTTGACTGTATATTCAACATCAACACAACCTAAACAGTATATAGCTAGGCGTTCATGCATCTTAGCATAATTAGGTCTTTTGTTTTCAGAGTCCTTTCTGAAAGTGACTGATATTTTTATAAGACACTGTGATTTTGTTTTGTTTTTAGACAGCACTGTGCAATTTCCCTGGGTCTGTCTCTGCGTCTTCTAAAGCTGCTAAGCTGCTATTTGCAGTTGCTGTGATAAGCTCCAGTGTTTTAGTTCTCATCAGGGGACCAGATACCACGTCTCTCTTGCATACAGTTGTATATAGCGTTCTACTTTAAAAATGTTTTTCAAGAACAGCAACAAATTGGCAGAACATATTCGACATAAAATTCAATACACCTTTTTTTCTGTTATAAAATGCATGCCTCTGGTTGCATAACCAGTCATATATTATTTAATCTCCAATAAAGAGTAACGCTAAGAAGCGTTTTCATGCCAATTGCACACTAGGTTTGTGCTGCAAGACACGTTTATCAAAGACAATCTGCATTCGAAAAGTAATGTGGCTATAATCACGTATCCCACTGGCATATTCAATTCCAAGGATACTTCACTTTACTTACTTTTGCTGTCGTCCAGCTTGAGGTAACAGCCCGAGTAGATATCTTCTCTATGCTTAAAAAAGTAATAACATGTGATAACAGATTAACTAGTGGTATCGTGAAGCGGAATAGACTGTAAGTTATAATTATAAAGGAAAACAAAAACCACCCAACCTGGTAAATAGAACGCATACACCCAGCCACCTTCTTGAAGCTCACACAGTATAGCCACAGTAGGATAAGTCAAGACAATTCCAAAAGTCGCACCTATAGCGAAGCAAATGATTACAATAACAATGCATGGCAAGTGTGTGGGTGTGTGTGTGTGTGTGTGTGTGTGTGTGTGTGTGTGTATATATATTATGTATGTATTATGTATATATGTGTGAATGTATGTATGTATTTGTAGGTGTGTGTGTGTGTGTGTATATATATATATATATATATATATATATATATATATATATATATATACATTAATCGCACCTATAGCATAGTAATTGATTACATACATAACAATGCATTTTAAGTGCGTAACTATGAATATATATATATATATATATATATATATATATATATATATATATATATATATATATATATATATATATATATATAATTTTTTGGCGGTACGCAATGGTACGAAGTACTAGCCGCAACGATTAGACACCATTTTTACAGCGCTTCTGCAGCAGATACATTATGGTGAGCGCCGGCTTTCTTTTTTAAAACACCGAGTACCACCAATACATTTTGTCTAAGAAGAACTATAAAATATATATATATATATATATATATATATATATATATATATATATATATATATATATATATATATATATATATATATATATATATATTCACGAGAGATATGTCATTCCCACATTTTTCTCCTCACCCAGACTCTGTGCAAAAAGTATGAAATGCTCTCTTATTATAACTCCTATGATTGTTAAAGTTAGTCGCGTATCCTTTACAGGATGTTGCACAAACAACCCCAGCATTTTTTTTTTTTTTTTTTTTTTTTTTTGCTGTTGTGGTTTTTCTAGGAAAATTGTACGTTTGGTAATTTGCCATTGCTTACTAAACGGTTAGCTCTCGGTACCACTATCGAAGCCAAAACAGGACAAACCGTTCGCAGCTGGGATTGGAATTACAAAGCGCGTTCGCAATGCCTAAACCAAAGACTTCAACAGACTTTTACACCACATAATTTACAATATAATGACTTTCGACTTCTTTAACTTTACGCCAACGCGTATAAGAATACGCACACCTTGCATACGCCTGGTTTTGTCCTGTGCACGTAGCCAACTCTTTACAGCTGAGTTGAGCTGAGTTGAGTCCCATATGTGCTCCATCCCCACTCTCAGCAGCCAGCGCAGAGTTCCAATACTAATAGTCCCGGACGTGGTCTGGTTGAATGTCTGTCTTGCCTTTTCTTGAGAGTACTGTGCCGGTGGAACCCTCTGGTTGCACCCAGCTGCATTATTCGCTCTAGCCCCTTATAATCGAGTTTATCTTCTGACTTTGTTACTTGCTCCCAAAGGGCTCTGGCCACATCTGCCATGTCATGTATAAATTCACCACCCAACGGTGCAGATACAGCTAATCTGTCTGCCTATTTATTCACCACCACACCGGCATGACCTGAAAAAAAAGATCCAAAGTTTGCGTACTACCCGTGACCTTGCAAGTGACGCTTGCCACTCTGCTCGAAGCAATTCTGTCTTCACCTTTTTCAGCATGCTTTCAGAGTCCGTTTCAACTACGACACGTGAAATTATTTTTTTCTCTAGCCACCGGCAAGCTGCAGTGACTGCCTCTACTTCCATTCTTATGTTCTATCATATGCCAGGCTGTCCTACACTAAATTTTTCCATTGGCTTTCGCTACGAAACCCCAGGCACTTCTCTTCCCTCTTAATACAGAACCATCTGTGCAGATAATCAGATTATTAGGACGAGTATTGACCTGAATCAACTGTTGGACTTTCACCTCAGTAGTCCCCGCTGGCCACTCTCTGCACTCCCGGCCTAATGTGATCATGACCCTACACAGATCAAACTTTTCCTCTGGTACTCCAACTCACTCCTCTACTCGCCCAATGAACTTTAGCATGTATGCTTGTCTTACTGTGTCTTCTACTTGAGCCATCTACGATTTTCCCCTTTTCAGGCTCTGGCACTTAACTGCATCCAAAGCTTCATACAGACGTTCCTCTTTATCTGCAGCTACTCTGAGGTATGACTTAATCTGCAACACAACACCATTAGTCTATCTGCAATAGTCGGCAATGCACGGATGTTTCGCATTCGCACTTATGGGCTGTCTCTTGTACATCCCAGGATCACCCGAGTAGCTTCATTCTGTATGCGCTCCAGTTTCACCTTATCTACTGTCGCCTGTAACTCTTGAGAATTATTTTTTTTTTCCTTACAGCATGAATAAGATATTTATCAATGTCAAATATTGCCCCACATTTTACATTTTGATGTGGACCAAAGAGTTCAACATTAGAAGGAAGCAGGTCGGGACTATAGGTTGGATAACGGGCTATATTCCAACCCAACTTGTTGATTAAGAGGGACTCCTTTCCACACCTTCAGGGCTACTTATCATATGGGGGTAGACCCATACTGTATAGACCAATCAATGGTGGGTGACGCCTTTACTTCCAAGGACTTTTACGGGTACCCATTTAAGGCCGGGTCAACCTCGGAGCCAATGTAATTCTGATTAAAAAATAATGTCCAGCACTGTTCGGATTTGAACCTACGACTTTGGGATCAGTAGGCTGGCATCTAGTTGCTACTACACCACGGCAGCTCCAAATTTGTTGACTGTTTCCCATGAAATCTGACGTATGTGCCATCCGTCTGAAGAAACAATTGCGCTACATTGTTGAGTGTGGGAAGTGGATTGGTCGTAGAGAAAGATAGTGAAAAGGGGGGGGGGGGACAGGTGGGAGAGGGCGTTGGGGCGAGAGACTTTTTAATTGAAAACTGAGTTATGTAAGATCCTTGATGATGCGGTCAGTATAACAAAAGCCCCCTGTTATTACCAGTACATTTTCTAGTATCCATTTATGAATGGAACGACGTAGGAGCCAATGTTTTAGTCTCCAAAACCGCTTCTGCAGACATGAACTCTGGACCTTCAGTCCAGCAGGCGAGAGTCTATTTACGGGACAACCGTGCATTGGTGTACTTGTGGAGGAAAACAAAAATCAGCACACACATTTGCTACAGTATTTGAGAGGTATCAAAATAGTTTTTTTTTTGGCTCTGAAAATTTGTCGGCATCCATCTCCGGGTGTTGCCCATGAAGGCCTGACTCGTGAGACGCGACGCACCAAATGTCTCATAGTGTGTATGCAAGTTGTCGATGCATAGATCATCATCACCAACATCATCATCATCCCGTTACACTGAGTATCTTTGGGTCACCAGTTTCTGTTGACTGTCTGATCAGCTCTCTTCACCTTTGGCGGTCAACTGCGATGGACTTCATCGTTGCATGTCTTAGACCGGTCCAGTCAGTCAGGTTCTGTAAGTCACACCCATATTTTCACCATTTCAGGTTCTGTAATCAGGTCTTTCTTATTCTGTTACTTCTCCTCTTCCCGCTACTGAGCCGTGTAGTATTGTTTTGAGAGGCCGTTAGATTTTTTTTTTTCATGACCATACTATTGCATTTTTCGCCTTTTCACTGTAGTTAAAAGAGGTTCCTGGTTGCCAGTGTGCTGTTCTGTATAGCTCAGAAGACAATAATCTACATTCTGTTGTCACATCGTGGGAAATGGAAAACTGGAGTACATTTTGAAATCCTGCAACCTGGAGGGGACGAGAAGCAAAGAGGGATCACGAAAGAAGATTGCTAGACGTTTTGGGGTCATGTCACGAAGGATTATCTGCATCAGAAGTGATGGGCAGTACTAGAGACAGAAGGCTGTGAACAAGCGTGCCTAAAATCGCCATACGGAATGGACTGTAGAAAACATAACATCTATGTTAAAGCCAATAATGTGTGCATATGCATCAAACTTGCCGTACCACCAGTTGTGTGACAACTGATCTATAAAAAGATGGAAAAAAATAACTTTTAACCTCAAGTACCCAATATGCCTATGGATTCCTTACATATAATGTATGCTTCGACTTCTTACTTCTGCATACTCCCTTAAAATTGCAGTTGACACGTTGCGTTGTCGTTTACGGAATACGGTATTCGCCACTTTTTGTCAATCTCTTCAAACGCTTTCTTAGACCTTTATTATGCTTGTTAAAAAGCTATAGGGTCCGTTCTTTTATCACCATGAAACCGCAAGAAAGAAAAAGTGTGATGGGAGACAGAAAAGTATGTTCTAATCTAAATACTTCAACAACAAAAAAGCCTCTTAAAAATGACTGTTGTGCATTATTAAATATTATAAAATCATTATTTCATGTGAAATATTAGGGCGTAAGAAAATATTCAACGCGATTCTTGCAGCAGTTCTCGGGACAAAAAACTGAATTCAAACGCACATGTTCCAATGAACCACACTTGCATACAACGTTTACCAGATACACAAAGCGCCATGAGCTTTTCTCTTTCCAGTGGCGGTGCCCACCGCGACCAAATGACGAACATTGCTGGCCATGTCACTCCCTGTGGAAAGTAGAGGATATTGTTACTTCCATCAACAGTCGATGTAAAAATGTTGTATAAGTTTACCGGCTAGTCGCCGCCTGTCGGTCTGATGGCTCAAGTTCGAATCATCATTAAGGGGCATTGTTTAATCAATTATGTCACCACTGGCTGTTTTACCACTTTTTAGGATGGGTGGGGGTGTAGACAAAGGGGCCTTGATCCTTACTTAGAACCGCCTGGCTAGTGATGTCGCCACGGACTGTGCAGGTTAGGGGTTGAAGAATAGGGCGTTGTAGACAAGGGGTACTAGAAAGTGCATAAAAGGAACTTTTCCTGAATATCAAGAAAACAGAAACAATGGTTATATCAAAGAAGAAGATAACTCCAAAATGTAACAAAGCAATACAGTGGAAGGTGCTTAAGCAAGTCAATAAATTCAAGTATTTTGGGAACATTCATAACATCAGATGGACGATGTGTGACAGAAATTAAGTGTAGAACTGGCGAGGCAAAAGCAGCTTTTCGGAATAAGAGGAGTATCTTATGTAATAAATCACTTTCAGTAAAGGTCAGAAAACGAGTAGTGAAATGTAAATTGTGCCTGTTCTGTTGTACGGCAGTAAATCTCGGAATGGGAGCAAACAAATTAAGAAAAGTTTGTAGGCAGCTGACATGTGATTGTTGGGAAGAATGTTGCGAGTACCTTGGGCTGTTAGAATAACTAACAATGGTTGCCTAGAAATGGCTAATCAAAGTAGAACATTATATACAACAATGAAAAAGAGAGAAACATTTTTTTTTTTTTTTACTTTGTTAGTCATGTGATAAGAACAGAAGCATTCGAGAAGATCGTGCCGACTGGAAAGATCACTGGTAGAAGAAGCAGATGCAGACGAAGAGAAATGATGGTGGGTGGCTTTAGACAGTGGCATGGAGGAATATCATCAGTGGAATTGATTGAGGACACCAAAGACTGAGATCTCTGGAGATGCATGAACGCCAACGCCAGCTGGCAAGGCACTTGATGATGATGAGACGTAGTGGTTTTGATCCTGAGGATTTAGGGTCACCTGGCTAGGACTGTCGCCACGGACTATGCATAGTGTTCAATAATTGGCATCAAATCCAAGGTAGAATCGGCCTAAACCAGGTACCAGAAAGTGTCTGAGGTGAGATGTTACCCGTATGGCCGATTGAGTACCGATTGGTTCACGGGGAAAAAATTGGGTTTAGAACCAAATGGCCAATAGTCCAGTAGCGAGAAAAAATTATATAACTTTCTTTAAGTATTATTTCCTCCATATTACTTTATTATACTTCTCGTCCTTTTAAGGCTTAAAAAAACGAAATTTTTTTTTCCTTCTGGCTTTTGATAGGGGCCGCAATATATCCCGACCATAAATATGGCCTAGGGGCTGAACGCGGTTTCTGGGACTTCTCCACGGTGATCCTCACCCACATGGTGGAACATTGCGTTATCGGGTGTTTATCGCTTGTGTGATGTTCTGGTGGGGTAGAAAGTCAGTCAGTCAGTCGTTTCCTCCATGACCGCAGACTGAAAGAATGACACCCAGCCACAGATTAGGATGCAAACGTCTCTCTTCTCGTTGAGCATACACTATATCAGCCTGATCCATTGCTCGTCCAACCTAAGCATTAGCATTAGCTGCAAAGCTATCATTGTGATCCTCTCCTGTTACACTTCCATAACCCGGCACGAAATTGAACCTGATTTTTTGTCTGTCGTCACCAGAGACTCCAACCGCTGTCGTCAGGCCCATCTCAGCAACATTTTAACCAGTCTCAAACCACTTGATTTTCTGTTTCTCATTATACAAATGGATGTTTACTTTTTATCGATGCCAAAAAACATTATCGAAAACAGCATGTGGGGGTATTTAACATTAAAAACTATAAAACTGAAGAGTCCTCTGAGCAGCAAAAACTGCTGATAATGTAATTACATACATTATAATTATCAAGTGCCTTGCCGACTGGCGTGAGCGATCATGCCTATCTACAATCTGCCATCAGCAACTGCATGCTTCAGTTCGTGTGTGGAAAACCCCTCCCTTGTCTTTTTTTCAAACTATCTTTTTCTTGGTGGACCACTACCTCTTGATGTGTCTACTTTAATGTTTTTGCTTTCGTTTCAGGCATCACGATTTATTCTCATTAAATGTTCAAAACATTTAAGTCTTTTTTTTTTTTTTTTTTTTTTATGAATTTTATTATGGGTGGTGTTTAACCAGTTCTTGTAATTTCTTCATTTCTCACATGCTCTCTACTAGTTTTGTTTACGACCTTTCTCAAACATTTCATTTGGCAGGTGGTTAGTTTTTCTTAGTGTTCTGCATTTGTCGTGGAGTGAATCAACCAAACCCTGGATATTGGATTATTCGTGACGTTGGTGCCCGCTAGCGGGCAGGTCACATTTCAAATTTAGACCCGTCCGGTGGGTATATAGTCCCTCATATCTATGTATACCTCTATCTGGCGTAACAGATATTTCTATAACCTCTAGAAGGTTTGAAAAGTCTACATTTTCAAACTTACAACTGGGATAGATATTTTCTGGATTAATATTCAGAATTCATGGAAGCCTTTTTACTCCTTGGCGTACTAATACGGGACTTTTTTTCTAGAGACGCAAAGCAAAATTAGGCGGGTCATTCTTTGCCAGACTTCCTAGGTGTACAGAAGCATTTCACCTCTCTGATTAAATCTTGGCGCATTCAAAATACCACTTTAATCTGTGAAGGATTCCTAAGTTTGGGTATGCTGATTATAGTTTACGAGTACCATGATATATGTCTCTATAAAATTAACCGCTACTGCAGGGAGGATAGATTTAGCTATGTGACAGCACAGAACTACGCCTTTCTTGGTGTCCAGACACTCAGGGCCCCTGAAATCAAACCTTTCCCTTCGCAAGCTGATAGTTTGTGCCCTACCTGACCCAATATTATTAAAAATATTTTAAACCTAGAAAGCTAATTATTCTTTAACGAACCGACAGAGTTTGGGGTCGATTAGCGGACATATTTAGATTGTGGAAGTTTAGAAAATACATGTAAGAACGAGATAGAATGTATGTCTGCAAGTGCGGATGGGAAGGTGGAGAGAGGATGATCTATGTGTAGTAGGTCTATCTATCTCCACTATGGACCTTGTCTCCTATCTCTTGTACTGACTGACAGACATAGATAAATGATGGGGGAACTGTCTCCTTGTCCTGTGAGCTATCCTCTAAGTGACTGAGAAGGGTGGAGGGGAATAGATTGAGCTTTGTATGTGACTCTTTAGCTGAATACTAATTCTAAGTTCCTTCCTGACACAGGAAGATACCTCCCTGGAAGTCAGGCAGACGATTCACAGTCCAACCAGCAAACATCCACCAATAGTACCTACTACCACCACAACTTCAACATGACAGGAGCTTGTGTGAGTTCCAGTGACTGAGAGGCGGTTGTTGCAAGCCACTAGTGTCATCGCTCTAAGGAATCCTTCTTCAGGAGCTTTGTTGGGCTCCAGCACAATCCTTTTATTCCAATACATGAACACTGTCTGTGTTTGCAAGAGCAACCAGAAAAGAAGCAGTCTACTGAGTCAGCCTGTTCAGATCACCATGGACTGAGGAAAGCAGTGACCTACCAAACTGACATGTAACCCCTGAGATGACTGATAATTCTGAGTTAATTCTTGTTACAGAATAAATTCCCCTTGGAAGCCAGGCAGTGAATCAGCGGTCCACAAAAC